CCTGGTACTGGTAGTCTTGTGGGAGGGAGGAAGAGCCCCAGGCTCTACAAATCGAAGCCCTAATTGAGAAGCTTAGCTCAGCTCTGCCACACACACAGGTAGAAGTTCTGGATGAACATGCCTGATGATGTGTTTGAGCTGGGCCCCAGCCTCTCTTGTGTGGCACCACTCTGCATTTGCTTTATGAGGCAAAAATCTCAAGGAATGTCATTCTCTGCTTGGTTGTCATGTGTCTGTTAAGGCTGTAGACATGGGAGCTAATAGAGACATTTTTACTTTTTTTAAATTAAAAATTTTTTATTTTAAAAAGTTTTTATGTTGACACTAGAGACATTTTTTACTTTTCAGTCTTCAGAATAAACAAGCTGACTTTGAGGAAAATTGAGTTGTAATGTGGGGACTGCCCACAGGAAAAAAAATCATGGTCTTCATTAATATGCATGACAGTGCTGCACATGGTGCTCCTAGATGACACACAACTTGCTGGATAATGACAACAACACACACAATGACAACCCTCTGCAAAGCAATCCTATATTGTGCACTGAGCTGGTGCCAGGTAGAAAAATGTGATAACCTGGATGGTGACTTGAGTTAGAACTCATGAATATTTTATTAATGGCTCAAGGTCTCAGAGTAATTACTTGATCTTTTGCATGTGAGCTCACGACCCGGAAGCATATCGAGGGTCCTAAGTGATAAGCACAGCTAGGCACCAGCAGGTGCTGTTATTAAGGAGAACTAGAAGCCACCTTTATTTGCTATGGTCATGCTATACCTGGTCTAGTGCTTATCCGAGCCCAACCTGCAATTCCTTGAACCACCCACAGAAGTCCACTCAAGCTGACAGGTTCTCTAGCTTCTTGTTCACTGATTTGACTCAGCTGTTCAGTAATGCTCAGATGTGGAGGATGAACAAGGAACCTTCAGTGGACTGCTGCTCATAGACCACTTTCTGAGTATTTTGGAGGATATCAACATCACTGGGACTTAGTTCCAGATCTATTATTGTGAGAGGCTTCTGGCTGGAATATCAGAGACAACAGGGTTCAGATTTCTGACGTCATTTTCTCCAACTTGCATGGGCTATGGACAAGGGAAGACTTTCATAAGAAACTCAACTTATAGGACAATTTTGGGTTTATCAAAAATTAAAATTATATTTTTAAATATTATGTTTTTGAGGTTTGTTCCTGAAATTTATTTCCCTCTGGGAAAATGGATTTCTTTATCCTGAATTTCTCATCTGTTTCAACAAGATTTAATAAGCAATCAAAAAACTTTCCATAACAAAACCAAAGGGGAAGAGTTGAGGGAGGGAGGGAGGGAGGGAAGGAAGGAGGGAGGGAGGGAGGGGGCAAGGGAAAGTGGTGGGGGGTAGGCAGAGACAAATGTATTTGAAAAAATAAATTAATTAAAAAAAACTTTCCACAAATAAAAGTTCAGGACTAGATGGCTTCACTGGTGAATTCTACTAAATGTTTAAAGAATTAACACTAGTCCTTCACAAACTTGTTTTTCAAATGAGGAGCAGAAACAACTACCCAGTTCATTCAATGAAGCCAATATTACCCTGAAGCCCAAACCCAACAAAGATAACACAAGAAAACTAAATACCAATATCCTTTATGAATATAGATGCAAAAATCCTCAACTAAGTATTAGCTAATAGAGTCCAGAAACATGTAAAAAGGATTATACACCATGACTGCATGGGATTTATCCTAGAAAAGCAAGGTTGGTTTAACATATGAAAGTCAATCAATAAAACACACCATATTAATGGAAAAGGACAAAACCATACAGCCATCTCAATACATAGAGAAAAAATTTTACTAAATCTAACACTTGTTCATGTTAAAAACACTCAACAAATAAGAATAATAACATAGGTACTCAACCTGAATATAACTATAAAAACCCACAGGCAATTTCATATTTAATGGTGAAAGACTGAAAACTTTCTCCCTAAGATCAGGAAAAAAACAAGGATATTACCTCTCACTGCTTGTTTAACATTGTACTGGAAGTTCTAGCCAGAGCAATTTAGGCAAGCAAAACAAAGAAAATAATTCAGATTTGAAATGAAGAAGTAAAAGTATACCTGCAGAAGACACAGTTGTGCATAAAGAAAATTCAAAGGAATCCACAAAAAAATTATCAGTTGATAAATGAGTTCAGCAAGGTTGGAGGATACAAGATCAATAAACAAAAAAATCAATTAGTATTTCTGTACACTATTATTAGACAAGCCCAAAATGAAGAAAACAATCCCATATTTTATCACACCAAAAAGAATAAAATACTTAGGAACAAATTTAACAAATAAGTGCAAGATTCATACACTAAACACTACAAAACATTACTGAGTGAAATTAAAAAACACTTAAGTAAATGAAAAATGTTCATGCTCATGAATTGGAAGACTTAATATTGTTAAAATGGTAACACCCTCCAGACTGGTTAACAGATTCAATGCAATATTATCAAAATCCCAGCTGGCTTTTTCTGGCAAAAATTAGAAAATTGGTCCTAAAGTTCATATGGAAATTCAAGTGGCTCAGAATAGCCAAAACAAACTTGAAAAAGAAGGACAAAGTTGGAGTGTTCATATTTCCTGATATTAAAAATGTATGATAAAAATAGACATTAGGTATTTGAATATTTTGTCATATTAAAATATAAATACTATCTTTTTATTTAGTATGTACTATAGAGGATTATTAGAAATTGTCTTATATTTCATTATAAATTTCTCAACCCAGTCTTCTTGATTTTAACTTTCTACCCTAATACCATTTTAGAAGATCTATATATAAATATTTTTATCCAATATTTATGATGACAGGGGATTCATTATATGTCACTCTTCAAATTTTTTAGCCTAATTAATGATCTCAACAAAAATATCAGTTTTCCTTCTAATTTCTAAGTTTTGTAAGCAACTTTCTTTGCTGGAACATATCTCTAAAAGGAGACAAGCCACTGTAAAAGTTCTTATATTAATTGAAAACTTGAATACAAATATATTTTCATATGATATCTATGCACCCAAAGCAAGGCTCAAGTTTGGATCTAAATGAACTAAAAAGTTGTTCCCTCTCCATTTCCACTTAGGTAGATAAATGAGTGGGCTCTGGAGCCACACTGTAACAGCCTGAATCCTAGCTCTGCCATTTCCAGTGATGTATGACTATAAGCAGGGCACTTAGGAGGGATTGTTTTTTTACTTCACTCCTTCACGTTTTTCACCCAGCTTCCCCCACAACCCCCCTCCCCTCTGGCAGCTGGCAGCCTGTTCTCTGTATCTATGAGTCTGTTTCTATTTTGTTTTGAGCAGGTTGTTTAAACTGTCTGTGCCTCAATTTCTTCATCTATAGAATATGGCTAATAAGATACCCACCTCATAGGGCTTTGAAGGGATGAAATGAATTAATATATGTAAAATGCTTAACATAAAATCTGGAATATAGTGGCACGTATTTGGAACTCTTTAATTTGAATCTAGCTAGAACTTGATTACTATGTTATGAACAATTTGTTCTTTGGTTTTCCCAGGATATTTGTTTTTCATTTATATCTAAAATAATGTTTTTTTATTTTTTCAGTATGTTTTTTATTTTATTTAATGTTGATATATAGTATATCCTCTAATTTGTCTTAAATATGAAATATGAAATACTTCTAAAGCATATTAATACTATATCTTTCAGAAAGTAAAATATAGAACTTGAATTAAAGTAAATTTAATTGAGTAGTACTTAGCATGTATTATTCCCTCATGTCTCAGAATTTTACATTCAGTTTCAGATATGTTCATGACTGAATGTATGATATGATAGTCTTCTTATATAGGTAGAAACATAATCATTAGAGTGAATTATTTATTCGACTGATATTTACTGAATGACTCCTATAATCCAGACTTCTTTCAAAAACATTTTTTTCCCTAATAATTTCTTTTAGAATCTAAAATTACTGACTTGCTTTAAAAATAATTCACTCAACATGAATTATAATTTATCAAGTGAAGTAACTTACTGTATCAGGACAATCACAAGAGCTGTGCACTGTCCTGGAGTCCATTTCATAAAAAGTCTCCTCTCTTTGCCATATATGAGTAGACAAGTCCGGAGACACGCTTTGCTCACAGATTAAAATATTTTAAATCGCGTCTTCTTGTTTCCCTTAAATCATTTAGTCAAGATGATATCTGGGACACAAAGAATGAATGTGGTAAGATGCAAATGCACTGTAAAATGAGTCTTCAAAATTTAGCTAGATACCTAAATAAGCTTAAGGCCTTTATCTTAACAAAATTCTATGACTTTTATTCACTTGATTTTTGTCTTGATATTATCCTGATAATAGCCAAGTAGAATAATCATGTCCTATCACCCTCTGGGCTTCAGTTTCCTTATCTGTAAAACTTGCTTTAATTTCCTCTCTGGTTCTAAGAATCTGATTCTAATACTACTTGACTTCCTTCTAAATTTAATGTGAGTTCAAACTGTTAAGGGCGTAACAAAGCAAGATGCCTCTTCTCTCTGCTGTATTACTATTTGCACACCAGTGCAGGATAGAACCTTTCCTTTGAAAAAGAGCCTCAAGACCATGTGGTACAGAAGACCTTAACAATGCTTTGCATCATCATAAATTCCTCACATACCTGAAAACACACAGACATAACTGCTGTAAACTAGTTAGATTATGCAAAGGGGAAATGGAGTTCTTTGAAGTTCCTCTGTTAGGCTGTGGGGTGACCGAGGTACACTCTTGCTTTGTGCTCACAATTATTCCAGCTCATGCAATGTAATGAAATAATCTTATAAATTTTGCAATTTAATAGTATAACAACTTTGTAAAAGTTCTATACACTTTAAAAATGGGTTACTTTTGGACACTTCCAAAATGTGCTTTGGCTTGAGAATGTTTTCTCAGTCAAGACGCAGGGTGGCGCTGCAGGCTAAGATTGTGACTAAGCTCTAGAAAGCTCGCGTATTCCTTTGTTCCAATACGAAATCAAAAACCCAAGGAAGAAGCTTTGTCCGCGGTACTGGGTAAACAACGAGTTTGGGGAGCGCGATGTACTACACGGATTTAAGGTTCAAAGCAACTTCGTGAGGATTCCACCAAGCAAGAAATCAAAATTGTCAGCACCAGGGCTCCAACATGGAGACGCTAGAGAGAATTCAACCGAACAGGCAAGTGATAGCCTTTATTCTGGTGGTGTTCTTGTCTCAGGCTCGCCCTGAGCCTATTCGGTATTCTGTGCTGGAAGAAACAGACAGCGGCTCCTTTGTAGCACATCTGAGCAAGGACCTGGGCCTGGGAATTGGGGAACTGGCCTCCAGGTCGGCCCGGGTGGTGTCTGACGATGACAAGCAGCGCTTGCTGCTGGATCGTGAGACGGGAGATTTGCTTTTGAAGGAGAAACTAGACCGGGAAGAGCTATGTGGCCCCATTGAAACGTGTGTACTGCATTTCCAAGTGTTGCTGGAAATGCCAGTGCAATTTTTTGAAGGAGAATTATCAATTCAGGACATAAATGACCACTCCCCAGTATTCCCTACTAGGGAAATGCTCTTGAAAATACCGGAAAACAGCCAGCCAGGGACTATTTTTCCTTTGAAATTAGCTCAGGATTTGGATGTGGGCAGCAATGGTCTTCAAAAATACACTGTTAGCCCGAATTCACATTTTCATGTTCTTACTCGAAATCATAGTGAGGGTAAGAAATATCCAGATTTGGTGCAGGACAAAGCGCTGGATCGAGAGGAGCAGCCCGAGTTCAGCTTAACCCTGGTAGCGCTGGATGGCGGGTCTCCACCCAGGTCTGGCACCATCACCGTGAGAGTCCTGATCATGGACGTTAATGACAATGCTCCTGAGTTTGTGCACACCCCATATGAGGTGCAGGTCCTGGAAAACAGCCCCATAGACTCCCCAATCCTTACTGTCTTAGCTAGGGACATAGACGCTGGAAACTTCGGGAGAGTTTCCTATGGTTTGTTCCAAGCATCAGATGAAATTAAGCAAACCTTCTCACTAAATGAAGTCACAGGAGAAATCCGACTGACAAAGAAATTGGATTTTGAACAAATTAAGTCTTACCATCTGGAAATTGAGGCTACAGATGGAGGAGGCCTTTCTGGAAAAGGCAATGTAGTCATAGAGGTGGTGGATGTGAACGACAATGCCCCTGAACTGACCATATCTTCACTCACCAGCTCCATCCCAGAGAATGCTCCGGAGACTGTAGTCTCGATCTTCCGAATTCGAGATAGAGACTCTGGAGACAATGGAAAGATGGTTTGTTCTATTCCAGATACTCTACCATTCATTCTAAAACCGACTTTCAAGAATTTCTATACTTTGGTAACAGAGAGCCCACTGGACAGAGAGACCACAGCGGAGTACAACATCACCATCACCGTCACCGACATGGGGACCCCCAGGCTGAAAACCCAGCACAACATCACCGTGCTGGTCTCCGACGTCAACGACAACGCCCCCGCCTTCACCCAGACCGCCTACACCCTCTTCGTCCGCGAGAACAACAGCCCCGCCCTGCACATAGGCAGCGTCAGCGCCTCGGACAGAGACGCGGGCGCCAACGCCCAGGTCGCCTACTCGCTGCTGCCGCCCCGCGACCCCAGCCTGCCCCTGGCCTCGCTCGTGTCCATCAACGCGGACAACGGGCAGCTGTTCGCCCTGAGGGCGCTGGACTACGAGGCCCTGCAGGCGTTCGAGTTCGGCGTGGGCGCCACGGACCGCGGGTCGCCGGCGCTGAGCAGCCAGGCGCTGGTGCGCGTGCAGGTGCTGGACGCCAACGACAACGCGCCCTTCGTGCTGTACCCGCTGCAGAACGGCTCCGCGCCCTGCACCGAGCTGGTGCCCCGCGCGGCCGAGCCGGGCTACGTGGTGAGCAAGGTGGTGGCGGTGGACGGCGACTCGGGCCAGAACGCCTGGCTGTCGTACCAGCTGCTCAAGGCCACGGAGCCCGGGCTGTTCGGCGTGTGGGCGCACAACGGCGAGGTGCGCACGGCGCGGCCGCTGGGCGAGCGCGACGCGGCCCGGCACCGGCTGCTCGTGCTGGTCAAGGACAACGGCGAGCCGCCGCTGTCGGCCAGCGTCACGCTGCACGTGCTGCTGGTGGACGGCTTCTCGCAGCCCTTCCTGCCGCTGCCCGAGGCGGCGGCCGCCGCGGCGCGGGCCGACCCGCTCACCGTCTACCTGGTCGTGGCGCTGGCGTCGGTGTCGTCGCTCTTCCTGTTCTCGGTGCTGGCGTTCGTGGCGGTGCGGCTGTGCAGGAGGCGCAGGGCCGGCTTGGCGGGTGGCTGCTCGGTTCCCGAGGGCCATTTTCCGGGCCACTTGGTAGACGTCAGTGGCACGGGGACCCTGTCCCAGAGCTACCAGTATGAGGTGTGTATGACGGGAGACCCTGGGACTGGTGAGTTCAAATTCCTGAAGCCAATATTCCCTAACCTCTTGGTTCAGGACACTGAGAGAGAAAGTAAGGCAAACGCCAACTGCAGGAATAGCTTTGTATTCAATTAAGTATGGTATGGGTTAAGTGAGCCGCTTCTTACTTTTGGTAAGCCTAACTGCCGTTGCGATGCGTTTCTTTTAAGAAATCGTATTGTTCTCTAAATATGTATACCTATTCCAAACCAGTGCGTGTCCCTGATCATGTTAGATTTCTTTCTTTTATTAATGCTCATTGGACTTAGCTTTTCTACACTAAATATTGAGTATGTGTTTTCTCCATATTTGACCTTCTCTTGGTGATTAATCTTTCCATAACTATAAATTACTCAAGTAGTGTAAGAAGAAACTTTGTTTAAGCCAACTTAATTAGTTAATATCTTTTTAATGAAACATTTTAAAGCTTTTATGTAATGTTGCATTTCTATATATTTGTGGTTCTTGTCTTTATCAGATATTTCTATCTTTATGAGGCCAGAGTGTTTGAAATTTTATATGCTACTTGGGCCTTTCTTGCAGGCTATTCTACCAGGCTATGCCCCTGGAATAACCATGAGCATACAATTTAGCATACTTGCTCTTCCCAAGTTGTACATAAACACAACTTCCTTAAATTATTAATACACTGAAATTGTGACCTCCCATTGTGAACAGCATAATATGCTAGAGATTTTATTATTTATTGGATTGATACTTGCCTTACACATTGTACCTTCTCCATTAGCACTCACTGATATTACAATTTTTTGAATTACTCTTTTTGTAAATAATAAAGACAAAATCTTATATAATTTGGCATCACTTCCTCTAAATTAAACTCAGTCATTGCTTGGTAAAGTCCTTGAAAAATAATCTCAGTACCTTAAATAAATTTTAAATCCTTCCATAGGATTTATGATGTGGAGGGCATCATATACTTCCTTGACCTTCCTTTTGCCCTATGGATAGAAATTCAAGTGTAGTTTAATGTATGTTTCTCATGGTTTTCCTGCAGCTTCTCCCTGCCTTTTAAAATAATCAAATAATTTTTTTCTGAGTTTTGGTTATTCTGTTTAAGTGTGATTATCAAATGATATCAGATTTTCACTTTACTTTGCAGACATGGACAGCTTTTATCAACAGAATAATGATTTATTTTTTTATGTCAAAGTTATCTTCTGGTTTGTTCTTCAATGTAGCTTTCAGGTTTTTTGTGTAAATTTACTGTATCAATTATGCTGAACTTTCATTTGTAAGAAACTAGCATTATTTTGTCCTGCAGGACAATAAAAATAGAAATAGTAATTAATATAAGAAATGAACTTAACTGAATTGTTATTGTTTTATGTTGTGTTCAATAAGCTAAGTAAACTGATAATGTGACCACCAACTAAATTTATGTGAATATGACTATAAGACTACTTAGTTGAACTTTTGGCACAATATGAGCAATTAAAGAACTTACTTTATAATTTAAATATTTATTTTGACATCTCAGGTGTCATCCTTCTAGAACTTAATTACTTGCTCTTTTCCATGAATTACTTTTTTCCTAGGCATTATAATGTAATAGAAAGGAAAGTGATTTACTGTTTAAGTTATTCTTGAAACAGCTTTTCAGCCTTTATCCAATCTACTAATTGAAATGAGAAAGTGATAAAAATGAGAACAAAATTAAACACAAACAATATATAAGACATGGATGTGGTAGTCAACTTTCCTGACTTCTCCATTTATTATTAGCTATTTAAATGAAATAGTTTTTATGTATGATAACAAGAAATATGACTGACATTTTCACCAATATATTTCAACATTATGAGAATCTACTTTTTATGTTTATGCCAGGAAAGTTCAATTTGTATAATCAACCAACTGAGATTGGCCAAAGAAACAGCCAGAGCCCACCTTTGTGAATTGATGTAGTAAATATATGGATTACTCTGTGTATTACTTTATGAATTACTGTGTGTATTGATAAAGCATGGACCATTATTTACCTCCTAGGGATCATCACCAGATTGGTATAGATCAACATTTTGAAATTCAATTATTAGAATATAGTAGCAAATATTATTCAAATAACTTGCACAAAATACATATCTTATGAAAAACAAAACAATCCTCTTGTTGCAAAACAAGAATATAGAATGGAGACCAAATATCTTAAATAGAGGAATGTATAATGTTCAACAGCTGGAAAGCTCAGTATTGGGAATCATGTCAATTTTTCCCAATCAATAGATGTAATAAAATCCTAAACAAAATTTCAGCAGGTTTTTTGGTGAAATTTTACAAGCTACAACTAAAGTTTATGTGAAAATATCAAAGGATAATAATAACCAAAATAGTCTTAAAGAAAATGAATAAAACTAGAGAACTTACCCATCAGATAATAAACCTATTTTAAAGCCATAGTAATTAAGACAATATTGTACTCCAGGATAAACAAAGAGAAAAATGAAAAAAAAGTCTGAAATAGAGCTATGGTTACCTGATTTATTACAAAATTACACTTCAGAAACAATGAGGAATGGACCCTCTTTTCAATAGATGGTGCAAAGTCATTTGGATGTTTATATGAAAAAAATAATTTTGGCACTAAACTCATTCATATGAAAAAATCAACTTCAAAAGGACTATAGTGCTAATGTGAAAATTAAAGTAATTTTCAAAACAATACACAAATATTTTTATGACCCTGGATTATGCAAAGACTTAAAGAGAAAACAAACAGTCCTAACCATACCATTGAGAAATATTTACAGATTAAACTAAAATAAAGTTTAAGAAGTTTTGTTCATTAGAGATACTGTAAAAGAGTTAAAATCCAAGCCATAGAGTGGGAGAAGATATTTGCAATACATATTTCTGAAAAGTACTTCTATCCAGAATATATTAAGAACTTCTAAAGATGGATTGGGGAAATAAAAGCAAGTAAGTTAAATAGAGAAAAATAATCAAAAGATTTTCAAGCAGTTCACAAGAATGTATCCTAGTGGCCAATAAACAGGTGGAAATGTACTCAATTTAATTAATCATCAGAAATACTAAAGTAACAATATGATATCACCACGCACTGACTGTAATAGCTAATATTAAATGTTGACAATGATATGGAGCAACTGGAACTCTCATTCTTTGCTGGTTTTGGTAAAAACTGTTTTCAAAAACTGATTTTGCGATATCTGCTAAAGCTAAATATATGTGTACATCTTAATGCCCAGCAATCTAGCTCCTAAGAATATATTAAACATAAGTGCACACATAGACACCAAATGGCATGTACAAGAATGTTCATAGCAGCACTACTCAAAATATCCCCAAACTGGAAAACCTCAATCCCATAAACTGAAGAACAAATAAACAAATCATGGTATAGTCATAGAATAAAATTGTATAAAGTAATGAGAAAAAAATAAATCAGAACAATATGCAACACATAAATTTTACAAACAAAATGTTGAGTGAAAGGAGACAAACACAAAAGAGTAATTCTGTAACTCCATTTATATAAATATGCCAAAGAAAGACTAAAATATTCTATGGTAATAGAAGTTAGGAGAGTGCTTACTTTTAGGGGGGAGGGTAATGACCAGATTGCAACAGAAGGAGTTTTGTAGGTTTTGGTAACATTTTAGTTTTAATTTAGGTTCTGCTTATAAGTGTGTATTCACTTTGTGAAAAATCTTTGAATTATTCGCTTATGATTTGTACCCTTTTCTGATGTATGTTATTTTTAAACATAGTTAGTTAGAGCATCCTCTGGATATGCCAAGGTTTTGGGTTCATCTCGCATCAGGGCAGATACAAGAAGCAGCCAATGAATGCATGAATGGGTGGAGCAACAAAGCAGTCTCTCTTTCTCTCCCCCTTCCCCTTTCTCTATCTAAAATCAGTCAATTAAAACAGTAACTTTTGTAAAGTTGTAAGCCTTGTAAATATCCATTATCACTTATTTATTGAATATAATTAAACAGAAAACCCTCAAGAAAAAATTTCTTCATGTACTCAAAAGGTACTTTCACAAGGAATGCTAATGTATCATTTTAGTTTATTCTGAAAATTATTCTTTCACTTAAAGGTGACTCAGCAAATGTTTATTTAGAGCTCCCAATAACTAAGAACTGAAGATATGATCAGGAGCATTTCTGTGACTTAAAAAGATATTGATACACAACAGTTACAATTTGGAATGAAATGGCAAATACTCTTTGCAATAGTAAATAAGGACGCCTGGTGGCGCTGCAGGCTAGGCGTTTGAATGAAGAGCTCTGTGGGTACCCGGACGCCATTAAGCTGGGAATCAGAACTCTGAGTGCTTCCTAAAAGAAGGAAGCATTTTAGGTAAGATCTAAGGGCAAAGATCTTCAGAGAGGGCATCGTTTTAGTGTGAGTCAGTCAGAAAGATCTAATTCGAGGTTATTTAACGAAGTCATTTGGGTTGATTGTACAGCGAGTTGAAGAAACTTCACCTTCTTGAACTGGGTCTGAACAATGGAGACTGCGCTAGCAAAAACACTACAGAAAAGGCAAGTTGTCTTTCTTGTTATATTGTTGTTTCTGTGGGAGGCTGGCTCTGAAGCAATTAGGTATTCCATGCCAGAAGAAACAGAAAGTGGCTCCTTTGTGGCCAACCTGGCAAATGACCTGGGGCTCAGGGTGGGGGAACTGGCCACTCGGGGCGCGCGAATCCATTACAAAGGAAACAAACCGCTCTTGCAGCTCGATATAAAGACTGGGAATTTGCTTCTACATGAAAAATTAGACCGGGAGGCGCTGTGTGGGGTGACAAATCCCTGTATACTGCAATTCCAACTATTACTGGAAAAGCCGGTGCAGTTTTTTCAAGCTGATCTGCAGCTCACGGATATAAATGACCATTCGCCAGAGTTCCTAGACAGGGAAATGCTCCTAAAAATCCCAGAGAGCGTCCAGCCAGGGACTGTGTTTCCTTTGAAAATAGCTCAGGACTTTGACATAGGTAGCAACTCTGTGCAGAACTACACAGTCAGCCCCAACTCCCATTTTCATGTGGTCACTCACAATCTCGGAGATGGCAGAAAATACCCAGAGCTGGTGCTAGACAGAGCGCTGGATCGGGAGGAGCAGCCCGAGCTCAGTTTAACCCTCACGGCGCTAGATGGTGGAGCTCCGCCAAGGTCTGGGACCACTACCATCCGCATTGAAGTCGTGGACATCAATGATAACGCTCCTGAGTTTTTACAGGCTCTCTATGAAACACAGGTCCCGGAGAACAGCCCCCTAAACTCCTTAGTTGTCACTGTTTCCGCCCGAGATTTAGATGCAGGAATGTATGGGAATGTAGTTTACGCTCTAGTCCAAGGCGATGACGTTACTCAACCATTTGTAATAGACAAAATAACAGGAGAAATTCGTCTCAAAAAGCCATTGGATTTCGAAACAACTCAGTATTTTAACGTGCAAGTTGCAGCCACAGATGGTGGGGGACTTTCAGGAAAATGCTCTGTAGCTATACAGGTGGTGGACGTGAATGACAACGCCCCGGAACTGACCATGTCGAAACTCGCCAGCTCTACCCCAGAAAACTCCCCAGAGACTGTAGTTGCTGTTTTCAGTGTTTCTGATCCAGACTCTGGGGACAACGGCAGGATGGTTTGCTCCATCCAGAATGATCTCCCTTTTATCTTAAAACCCACATTCAAGAATTTTTACACCCTAGTGACAGAGAGGCCCCTGGACAGGGAGAGCAGGGCAGAGTACAACGTCACCATCACCGTCACCGACATGGGGACCCCCAGGCTGAAAACCCAGCACAACATCACCGTGCAGGTGTCCGACGTCAACGACAACGCCCCCGCCTTCACCCAGACCGCCTACACCCTCTTCGTCCGCGAGAACAACAGCCCCGCCCTGCACATAGGCAGCGTCAGCGCCTCCGACAGAGACGCGGGCGCCAACGCCCAGGTCGCCTACTCGCTGCTGCCGCCCCGCGACCCCAGCCTGCCCCTGGCCTCGCTCGTGTCCATCAACGCGGACAACGGGCAGCTGTTCGCCCTGAGGGCGCTGGACTACGAGGCCCTGCAGGCGTTCGAGTTCGGCGTGGGCGCCACGGACCGCGGGTCGCCGGCGCTGAGCAGCCAGGCGCTGGTGCGCGTGCAGGTGCTGGACGCCAACGACAACGCGCCCTTCGTGCTGTACCCGCTGCAGAACGGCTCCGCGCCCTGCACCGAGCTGGTGCCCCGCGCGGCCGAGCCGGGCTACGTGGTGAGCAAGGTGGTGGCGGTGGACGGCGACTCGGGCCAGAACGCCTGGCTGTCGTACCAGCTGCTCAAGGCCACGGAGCCCGGGCTGTTCGGCGTGTGGGCGCACAACGGCGAGGTGCGCACGGCGCGGCCGCTGGGCGAGCGCGACGCGGCCCGGCACCGGCTGCTCGTGCTGGTCAAGGACAACGGCGAGCCGCCGCTGTCGGCCAGCGTCACGCTGCACGTGCTGCTGGTGGACGGCTTCTCGCAGCCCTTCCTGCCGCTGCCCGAGGCGGCGGCCGCCGCGGCGCAGGCCGACCCGCTCACCGTCTACCTGGTCGTGGCGCTGGCGTCGGTGTCGTCGCTCTTCCTGTTCTCGGTGCTGGCGTTCGTGGCGGTGCGGCTGTGCAGGAGGAGCAGGGCCGGCTTGGCGGGTGGCTGCTCGGTTCCCGAGGGCCATTTTCCGGGCCACCTGGTGGACGTCACCGGGACCGGGACATTGTCCCAGAGCTACCAGTATGAGATATGTCTGACTGGAGGCTCCGGATCAAATGAGTTCAAATTCTTGAAGCCAATTATCCCCAGCCTCCCACCCCCAAACACTGGAGAAGGAATAGAGGAAAACTCCATATTCCGGCATAACTTCGAATTTAATTAGGAATTTCATCATGATACAATGTCTTTTGTAACATCTCCAGTTTCCCCAGATACAGAGTTTGAGAGCTTCATGGACAAAAATCGCATCTTCAAGTAGAGCCTGAATTTCCCTTTTGTAAACTATTTGTCCATTGCGCTTTATCTTGTCCAGGTTTGGGAAACTCAGTTCTAGGTGATTGTATTATTTGCATAATGCCATTTCAAATCCCTGCATGATGGTGATTTTCCTGTAATGTTTGCTCCTTTTGTTGCCTTTTGTTTAGATTAACTATCTTAATAAAATAAAATATAAATTGCTTTTCTCTGTATTCAGTCCATTTTTTCATCACACTAAATATTTTTGGTGCTAAATAGCAAAGATTAAAAAGTGTTTTTACATGTTTTTAAATTTTTGTTTTGAAATGAATATATGTATTCGATAAAAATGCAATATGTGAGAAAACACGATGAAAGCAACAATCTTGTATCTACTCTTCTTTCCTCATTGTCATCCCCACTGGCAAACGGTTTTTTAAGCACACATTTTTTAATAAAATTATAATATACACAGAAAAGGGAACAGATTCTTGATTTTAGTACAATGTATTAATATTTTCAGAAAGTAAACATAGTATCAATATCTTGATGAAGAAATGAAATATTACCAGCATCCCAGGTGCCACAGAAATTATCCTTAAAATTACTACCAGCACAAGTATAACAAATATCCTGACTTCTAATACTATAGTTTAGTTTTACCTGTTTTGAATTTATTTAAATAGAATGGTATATACTGTTTTGTGTCTGGCTTCTTTAAGTCAACATTATATTTATGACATTTATCTATGACATTGCTTTTAATTTTACTCATTCTTTTTAAAAAATATTTTATTTACTTATTTTTAGAGAGAGGAAGGGAGGGAGAGAGGGTGAGAAATATCAATGTGCAGTTGCCTCTCGCAGGCCCCTTACTGGGGACCTGGTGGGCAACCCAGGCATGTACCCCAGGCTGGGAATCTAATCTGTGACTGTTTGGTTTGCAGGCCAGGAACTCAGTCCACTAAGTCACATCAGCCAGAGCTAGTTATTCACTCTTATTTCGGCATAACATTCCAGTGCATGAATATTTCATAATTTATTACCCATCCTACTGTAGATAGATATTTGGGTTGGTGAAAATTTAGGCTGTTTGAGTAATACTGCTCTAAACATTTTTGTAGTTTTCATTTGGCAAACATATTTATGCATTCTGTTGGGTGTACACCTAGGGGTAAAACTGCCACTCATTTAGTAAGTAGATGTTCATTTTTAGTAGATATTTTAAAATAATTTTCCAGTGTTTTTGTACCAATTTACACTTTTATCAGCAGTGTTTGGATGTACCTCTCTGTTCTTGTCAGCACTTGGTATTGTCTGTTTTCCACTTCATCCCATTGGAAAGCACTTTTAAACCTTTTATTTTCTAGATTTTGATATTTGCTTTCTTATCACTAAAGAATATGTTGTAACTTTTTCATAAACTTCAATTAATTTCCTGCTATTATTTTTTTTTAGTCCTAGCACACAAAGTTCTTTCATCCATCCTTCACATATAGCTATCTCACCATTTTCTGCTACTTCTCTGCACAAACTGAAATCATTTCTTTTTTAGAAAATTGTACTTATTCAGTGACCTTTTGGTTCATAAGCCAGTGCTCAATACACTGAGCAACCAGCCAGGGCTCCATTTCTTGTTCCACTAACAACAGTTTCTTCTGATTTTCTGTATGAGAGAAAAAAATAGAATTCTTATCAACCTGTTATCTGTTTCTCTCTCACATTTTCAAATCTCTCTCAAATGAACCTTTTCTTTTACATAGTCAAGGTTGCTGCTTTGTTTTTTCTGCTTTTGTAAGATAGGGCAGTCTTCACCCAAGTTTCTGTCTGCGTGGCAGTTATGGCAGGGTGCTCTGTGTGAATCAGTTCAGGGCCAGGTTTATAAAGTATCAGATTTTACTTTTGGGTGCATTGTGATGAATGGGCAGAGAGCACTTCAGCATGTGGTCCTTTAAAGGCCAAGATACAAAAGGTTTTGTGCTGAGATTCCAGGGTTTTCACTTGGAAACCTTAGTGCTCTCCAGAAAAATTCCTTTTATTTCCTTAGAAATGAGCCTTAAAGTTTTTAAAAGGAAGTCTTGTGGGGAAATAATTATTATTAATTATTACTTTATGATATATATTATTATTACACACTGTCTACACACTTGGCTGTTTTCTAAAGTATTTACACATATATCATTTAATCCTCAAAATAATGGAATCACTGGCATCCCCATTTTAGAGAAGAACAAACTGGACATATAGAGTTAAAGTAACTGTAGTAAGTGATGGAATCAGAATTTGAAAACAAGCAGCCTGACCCCAGAGACATTGCTTTTTTGTATACTTTTTCTAGTTTTAAATCTATTAAACATTTTAAAAGTGTACACACTGTATGTTTGCAATTTAAAATTAAAATAGTAAAATGTTCACCCATGTATGTATCACGCAGCTTAAGATTAGAACAAGGCCAAGACCTTGGAAACCCCCATGTGCTTCCATGATTACATCCTCTATCCTCATGAAAATCAATACCTGTTCTGAATTTTTATACATATTTGTTCTTTTTCAAATTTCAGCTGATATGCATATATCCCTAGATGACATATTGTTTACCTTTGTCTGCTTTTGAAATTTATATAATTGGATCAATGTAGTATGAATCATCAGTGGGCTTACTTTTTCAATCATTAGGTATTGAATCCATCCATGTTAATGTAGTTCATTCATTAGCGTGCTCTATAGTATTCCATTATATGCACCTTTACTTTTATTTATTTTTTGAATACTTATTATGAGTTTTTATTTTTATTTTTTATTACATTTGATTGATTATGCTACTACAGTTGTCCTGATTTTTCCTACTTTGACCCCTTTCCATCCAGCACCCCCTACTCCCTCAGGCATTCTCCCACCTTTACTTTTAAATTCATAATACTTTTGAATGACTTTGGGGTTGCTCCAAGAGTTTTGTATTATGAACAGTGCTGCTATAAGCATTATTGGATATATCTCCTCATGTACTTGGGCAAGAGTTCTTTTGAAGTACAAGTACATCTAGGAAGGTACCATCGGGACCATACCAAAAGCTGGAAAGATATTAAAGTGAATGAAATAGATAATTAATAGATGCCAACACCAAGGTGACAGGTTACAATTATTTGACAAAGATTTTAAAATGAATTTCAAAAATGCTTTACAAGCAATTACAAATATGCTTGAAACATGAAAAATGTAAAGCTACAGCAAATAAATAAAAGATATAAAGAAATAACCAATGGATATTTTACAAATTAAAAATACAATGATTGGAATGAAAAACTCAGTGGATGAGTTCAACAGCAGAGTAGAGGGGACAAACAATAATCAGTGAACGAGAAGACAGGACAATAAAAATTACCCAATCTAAACAACAGAGAGAATATAGACTGTAAAAAGAGTACAGACTGGAGCCTTGCAGACCAGTGAGACAATAACAAAAGATCTAATGTTTTGTCTTTGGGATCACAAAAAGGAAAGGAGGGGACTTCTCAAACTTTGCAAAAGACATAGACCCAGGGATTCAAGAAGCCTAAGAAATTTAAAACAAGGTAAACCATAACAATCTGTACCAAAAGACATAATAGTTAAATTTATGAAAACTAAAGAGAAGGGAAAATTTTGAAAGCAGTGAGAGAGAAAAATGACACATTACCCATATGACAATAACAATTTGAATGACAGTAGATCTCTCATTAGAAGCCATGGTGGTTGGTCAGAGGGAAGTGACATAATATTTTTCAACTGCTCAAAGTTAACCCAGAATCCTATATCCAGTGAAAATGTCATTCAGGAAGAGAACTTGTTACCTGTAGAAATACCCTAAAAGAATGGATAAAGGAAGTTCTCCAAACATAAAGGAATCCATTTTTAAAAATGGAACAGCAGGAAAAAGAAAAAAACACAATAAACAAAAACATAGGTAAATGCAATAAACTTTCCTTTTCCCCTCAAGTTTTCTAAATTATGTTTGATGGTTGAATCCAAAATTATAACACTGTCTGATATAGCTCTAAATGTAGGTACAAAAAATATTTAATTATATATTATAAATGCGGGAAGGCAAAAAGTTGTAAAGGGCAGTAAGTTAGCCACCCTTCTCATGAACTGGTATCATGACAACACCAGTAAACCGTGATGAGTTATGTATGGAGCAACAAGTATAAAAGCTATACGAAATGAAACACTAAAAACCACTATAGATAAGTCAAAGTAGACTTCTAAAAAAGTGTTCTAATAACCTATAAGAAAACAGCAAAGAGAAAACAGAAACAGAGAGAACAAAAAGAAAACAAAAAATAAAATGGCAAGTTCTAACATCAGTAATTACATTAAATGTAAATGGTTTGAATGCACAAATTAAAAGAGATTGACAAAAAGTGGATTTTTAAAAATAACCAACTATATGCAGCCTATAGGAAACTTTGCTTCAAATATAATAATATAGACAGAGTGAGAGCAAAAAGATAGAAAATATACTCTGCAAATAGAAAAAATAAAGCAAATATAGATGTCAAATAAGATAGATATCAGAGCCAAGAAAATGATCAGACACTGGGTGGGACATTAGATCATGATGAAAGAAGGAGAGATCACAGTCCTAAATATGTATACACCAGACAACAGAGTTGCAAAATATGTGAAGCTAAAACTGGTAGAACTTAAAGGAGAATTGGATAGATCCACAATTAAAGTTGAGGACTTTAATACCCTCTCTCAACAAATGATACAACAACTAGACAGAAAAATCATACGGATAAGAAGAACTTAGCAACATGGGATCTAATCTATATTTCTAGAACACCGGTTCAATAGCAAAATACACATTATTTTAAAAAACTCAAGGAACATATACAAGGTAGACCTGATAATGCATTAAGAGAAACTTAAACCAATTTTTTAAAAATTGAAATCTTACAGTGTGGGCTCTCTAACCATGATGGCATCAAACTAAAAATCAATAACAGAAAAATAATAGTAAAAATGTCAAATATTTGGAAACTAAACAACACACTTCTAACTAACCCATGGATCCAAACAAAGTCTCAAGTTAAATAAAAAAAACCACAACATTTAACTGAATTGGAAAGGAAAAGACAGCATATTGAAATTTACAAAATGCAGCTAAAGCAATGCCAAGAGGGAAATTTATAGTGCTAAATGCATACATTCTAAGAGAGGAAGTCTCAGTCATCAAGTTTCCACCTCAAGAATATAGAAAAGGAAGAGGAAAATAAACCCACAATAAACAGGAGGATGGAAATAAGAAAAATTATAGAAGAAATCAATGGCATTCAAAAATAATAATGAAAATCAATAAAACAAAAATCTGGTCTTTGGAAAAAATCAACAAAATTGACAGACATCCAGCAAGACTGACAAGTCTTCCTTCCCAACCATTTCAGATTTCAGATGAGTTCAGCATCACATCCTTGTTTTCAAATGTTTCTGCAGCGTATCTCCCATTGAGAGGTTTCTTTAAGTGATATATATCTATATTTTCCCTGAATATAACTAAATTTAAAAAGATTTTAAAGAGATGCAATTCATTCTCGAAAGTCAGTCTTTATCTTTTGTTTTAAATACACTTGAAGAATTTTTAAATGTTTAATGATGAAAGGAAAACAAACTTGTATAGCATAAAAATGGAAATCACCTAGATCAGCTATTTAATAATTATAAGTTAAATAAAATTAAATTTGATATATTTTACAATGTTTCATCAGTTAAAGTATTGAAATACTATTCAACTCACTGGTAATAATCCAGCTGGATTAACCTTGAAACTACTTGTCACTTCCCATCAGCACACCTGAGCATAAAGAACATGGGGCACAGCGTTTGCCTTCCCATGTTGTCCAAAACAGACCAAGCTTTGCAACCTAATTATTAAAAGTAAGCTGGAAAACATGATTCCCAGTGAATGCTGAAAATGTTCTATATCTTTAAAGAGGTATGGGTTATATGGACGGATCCATTTGTTAAAATGCTACTGTTAAAATTAGTGCATTTCAACTTGTGTAAATATTACCTGAAGAAAAGAACTATGCAAAAGTAAACCTGAGTGTGAGGCTGAGAGTGGAGGGCACTGTATAGATGAAAAAGATAGAATGCTGTGAGGCTGGGTGATATGTACATGGAAGTTTATGATGTTCACCTTGTTATATGTTGAACTGTTTTCATAATTAAATTTTTAAATGAATTATTCCTTGTGAAACATGTTTATAAAAACAAAGTCAATTCACCTCTACTCTTGCAAATCAAATCAGAACAAAAAGAATAAAACCAAGAAGTCTTCTCCTGAAGGAATCTAATATATCCATGTTCCAAAAGAAGGTAGTTTCTTTGCATACGCAACTGATACCTCTTGTGGGTACATTAAATAGTTATCTCCTTTCTGTCATAACAACCAATGTTTTCAAAGGCATTTCAACAGTCTAAATTGAGTTTTATACATACTATGCTACTCATAAAGTTTGCTTTAAGATGAAAAAAATAATTCAGTAAGCTGTGTTTGAGGATCCCTGGCAGTGCTGCAGGCAGAGTGAGTAAAAGACCCTGGATGCAGGGGATGCCATTATGCTGGTGTTAGAATGTCCACTGAAAGAAGGAAGCATTCAGGACTGAGCTGGAAATGGCTTTGTTTCAGAGAAGAAATTAAACCCATCCAAAATTTTGGTTATTGGCTTACTTCATCAGTGTGTTATTGATATCCTTGAGAAAGTCTATTCTCAGTAACATTTATCAAGTGAACCATGGAAACTGGTCACAGGGATCTTATTTTATCTTTCTAGGTAGATTGAGGTGCTTCTCAACTGCAAAATTATTTCATCTAAATCAAAGTTTAGATTTTATTTAGCTTTATTTATTTTACCTGGAGTTGAAATATTCAGAAAAATATCCTTATTTTTAATCTCCCACCATTTTAGCTCTTACCTGAAGTGGATTTTGCTTGAACCCAACTGATTCCACATCTCAAAAAATATGAAATCAATCTGAAATGGATTCTATTGGTGTTTTTGTGTTTTTATATGTGCACTGACCTACTTTATGTATTTTCACGATATTTAGAGATACAGTTTCCTACTTATTTAAGGAGAAACTGGTGAGACAGGAATGGATATAGCCATGATAAATTATAATTGAATTCCATGGTATCCACTCAAAGGTAATTCACCTTTCACACTACCTTATTTGGTCCGTAATTATAGGACCTCAAATCATCCTTGTAAGAAGATGGTAGAAGTGAGTCTTGAATCCCCGTTTTCTGCATTGTATGATATTCTTACAATATGGTAATATATTTGATTTTGATTAATTAATTAATATTGGAGGGGAACTTGATTTTAAGTTACAATAAAATGAACAAGTCTAATACAATCACAACCAAATTCTCCCTATATAAAAATAAAGTGGAATCCTAAAATACTTACTTGTGACAGATACTTGACTGCTCCTAGCTCCTTCTTAAAATCACTTAATTTGATAAGATACTTCCATCATAAGTAGTCCTTGGCCTCAGTTTCCCTCCTAATGGTCTAACTGTTCCCATTATTGTGCAGGTGTAATCACAAAACAAAGTTAAGTCTATTGTTCATGCCATTTTGTAAGTCATGTAATTTAGAGACATGATTGCTTTTTTCTTTTTTACCATCAGTATTGCTAACCAACTTTCACTTTTGTATAGTTTGTTGGGACAATTAAGTAGTGTACTTCTTGAATTCACAAACTACACTGCTCATCAGAGATAACTTGCACTGCTAAAGAATAAAAGCTGATTACAAGAAGTTTACATTTCCTGAGGGAGGAATTCTTAAGTAAACGTTGGTGTGCATCAAAATCACTTGAGAAAAACTGAAGTGCAGGTTTCCATTAGCCTCATTAGAGAATTTGATTCAAGATCCAGAGAGGAGCCTAGAATTGACTTTGGAAAAAGAAACCCCAAAACTCCCAAGTGATCCTTCATGCAAGTGGTTCCTACACTCCAGTTTGAGAAACACTGACTCGACCTGAAAGTCTGTACAATGCTTACGCTTTGGAAACGGTATGGACCAGCAAGCATCTCATGAAGTTACTGATTTGAACGCGTGGTGGCACTGCAGGCTAAAAGAGTAAATCCGAGCTCTGCAGATTTGGTGGATGTCATTTCACCGACAAACCCAAGGGGGAAAGATTATACAGAACACATTTGAACTAAAGCCAAAATAAATGTGTTCACAAAGGCAGTCATTTCCAGACAAATTGAAAAAATAGAATTAGAAATTCTTTAACGGAGGTATTTCGGAGGGTCGACGGTGGACGTGGTGATTGGGAGTTAAAAAGGATTTTTCCTCTGGAATCAGACAATAGAGATGGCGCAAACAAACGCACATTGCGACAGAAGGCAAGTGACAATCTTAATTATATTGATGGTTTTGTGGGAGGTGGGTTCAGAATCGATTCAGTATTCTGTATTGGAGGAGACAGAAATTGGCACTTTTGTGGCTAACTTGACAAAGGACCTGGGACTAGGGACCGGAGAGCTGGCTGCGCGGGGAGCCCATGTTGTTTTCAAGGGAAACAGACAGCGTTTGCAGCTTGATCCACGGACATATGATTTGCTGCTAAATGAAAAACTGGACCGGGAGGAGCTGTGCGGAGCCACTGAGCCGTGCCTGCTACCATTCCAGGTGTTACTGGAAAATCCCTTACAGTTTTTCCAGGCTGCCTTGCGAGTCAGTGATATAAATGACCACGCCCCGGAGTTCCTGGCTAGAGAAATGCTACTACAAATACCAGAAAATACTGCACCAGGAAAGATATTTCCTTTGAAAATGGCACAGGATTTAGACGTGGGTAGCAACAGCCTTCAGAGCTATGTAATCAGCTCCAATTCTCACTTCCACGTTCTTACTCGAAATCGCAGCGACGGCAGAAAGTTCCCAGAGCTGGTTCTGGACAAAGCGCTGGACCGCGAGAAGCAAGCGGAGCTCAGGCTAACCCTCATCGCGGTGGACGGTGGGTCTCCGCCCCGGTCAGGGACCACAGAGATTCAGATCCGGGTCTTGGACGTTAATGACAACGCCCCTGAGTTTGCTCAGGAGCTCTATGAGGCGCAAGTCCCTGAAAACAGCTCCCTTGGCTCTCTGGTTATCACCGTGTCAGCGAGAGATTTAGATGCAGGATCCTTTGGAGAAGTATCTTATGCTCTATTTCAAGCTGATGATGTTAGTCAGCCCTTCGATATAAATGCAATCACAGGAGAAATTCGACTGAGGAAGACATTGGATTTTGAGAAATTTAAATCTTATCATGTGGATGTTGAGGCCACAGATGGTGGGGGACTATCAGGAAAATGCTCTATAGTCATAAAGGTTCTGGACGTGAATGACAATGTCCCTGAATTGACCATGTCCTCTCTCATCAGCCCCATCCCTGAAAACCTGCCAGAGATAACAGTGGCAGTTTTCAGCGTATCAGATGCAGATTCTGGACACAACCAACAGGTTATTTGTTCTATAGATGACAATCTCCCCTTTCTTCTAAGACCTTCGGTGGAAAATTTCTACACCTTGGTAACAGAAGGAGCGCTGGACAGAGAGCTCCAGGCCGAGTACAACATCACCATCACCGTCACCGACATGGGGACCCCCAGGCTGAAAACCCAGCACAACATCACCGTGCAGGTGTCCGACGTCAACGACAACGCCCCCGCCTTCACCCAGACCGCCTACACCCTCTTCGTCCGCGAGAACAACAGCCCCGCCCTGCACATAGGCAGCGTCAGCGCCTCGGACAGAGACGCGGGCGCCAACGCCCAGGTCGCCTACTCGCTGCTGCCGCCCCGCGACCCCGGCCTGCCCCTGGCCTCGCTCGTGTCCATCAACGCGGACAACGGGCAGCTGTTCGCCCTGAGGGCGCTGGACTACGAGGCCCTGCAGGCGTTCGAGTTCGGCGTGGGCGCCACGGACCGCGGGTCGCCGGCGCTGAGCAGCCAGGCGCTGGTGCGCGTGCAGGTGCTGGACGCCAACGACAACGCGCCCTTCGTGCTGTACCCGCTGCAGAACGGCTCCGCGCCCTGCACCGAGCTGGTGCCCCGCGCGGCCGAGCCGGGCTACGTGGTGAGCAAGGTGGTGGCGGTGGACGGCGACTCGGGCCAGAACGCCTGGCTGTCGTACCAGCTGCTCAAGGCCACGGAGCCCGGGCTGTTCGGCGTGTGGGCGCACAACGGCGAGGTGCGCACGGCGCGGCCGCTGGGCGAGCGCGACGCGGCCCGGCACCGGCTGCTCGTGCTGGTCAAGGACAACGGCGAGCCGCCGCTGTCGGCCAGCGTCACGCTGCACGTGCTGCTGGTGGACGGCTTCTCGCAGCCCTTCCTGCCGCTGCCCGAGGCGGCGGCCGCCGCGGCGCGGGCCGACCCGCTCACCGTCTACCTGGTCGTGGCGCTGGCGTCGGTGTCGTCGCTCTTCCTGTTCTCGGTGCTGGCGTTCGTGGCGGTGCGGCTGTGCAGGAGGCGCAGGGCCGGCTTGGCGGGTGGCTGCTCGGTCCCCGAGGCCCGCTTCCCGGGCCACCTGGTGGACGTCAGCGGCACGGGGACCCTGTCCCAGAGCTACCAGTATGAGGTGTGTCTGATGGGAGGCTCGGGGACCAGCGAGTTCAAGTTCCTCAAACCGATTCTCTCCAACTTTCCTTCTCAAGGAACTTGGGAGAGAAATGAAGGAAAACCCTACCTTTCAGAATAGCTTCCCATTCAGTTAAGTATTGAATTATTCTACTTAACCCTACTTAATAAGCTTGGAAATCTCTTAGTTACATGTTGTTGGTTCCTTTCTTGATTAATTTACTATTGTTCCTTAGGGTGATATTAAAAGAAATTCAGATGTTGCACATACACAGCATTTTCTCTATATTATGCTTAGTAGTTTTTAAAGTATTCATTCAATTATATTTGACAATCTGAATAAAAAAGTAAAATTTAATTTGCATAATTTAAAAATTTTGAAATTCAGTCATCTCTTTTTACAAAAATTATATTCCAAAATTCTTAACTAAGATTGCATTTCTAACTATTGGTGACTACTGTCATTATTATTGCTATGTAGGAAAAAGTTTTAAATGTGTTTCACATTATTTAATCTGCCGGTATAGGTCTCATTTGGGTGTAACTCCTTTAATGTGGTAAAACATAAATGCTAACGATAGCTAAATGCTAAGATAGCCATTCATATCTATGTGTATTTTAGTAACCATAATAGCCAACACATTTTCTGTGAATATAGACTTTACAAAACTGTCAACACATTATAGTTTCTGAGCTTCACGTAAGAATATGATGGTTTTTTAAAGCACTGGCCCAATTAATAAATGCTTACTAAACACTTGCTGGATGTTAACATTCCTATAGTGAACTAAAAATAAATTTAAAAATATTTTTAATTCACTATTCAAAAATGTTAATATTCTCTCTACCCTCTAGTGCCCTTGTCAATAAGTGAAATTGTTAAATATCATTCTTTTACTTTTCCTCTAAATAGAAAACACCTTTCTCTAACCAAAAACTCTATTACAGAACATAAAACTCTTGAGAGTACATTTTATCTCCTTGTCTTCATCTAATGATTTGAAAGTTCAAAAGTATTGTTTAGTAAAATTCAAATTATATTTCACAAACTCCTATTTCTAGTTTCTTAGCTTTTACTAATATATATGTGATGCTTGCCAAGACCTAAGTTAGTTATTAGTGCCATATTATGGGATAGATAATGTAATGTTTTCCCTTCTAGTGCTGTGTATGCATCATTTATCTTTATTAACCATAAAAAGATTTACTTTTACAATTTAATCCATATTTAGTTATTTTGTCTTATCTGTGTTGGTTATTTCTAGTATTTTATTTAAAAAACCCTCTTTTTAATTTCCCATCAAAATTAGACAGTTTATACTAAAATGAAAAGTGGGTGAATATTTTATTTTATCCTTAATTAAAATGGAAGTGGGCTTATCTAAATTATATTTGGCTGTGTTTTGTATCCAAATAAGTGAATGCTGTGGCTCTTTGGCCATTGGTGATTACAGGTGGGTTCAATGAGTGTAGGGAACACTTATTGTTTTATGTTCTCATATTTTTACCCTCTCCTTCTTGGAATTGCATTCTTCCTTGGTGGATATGGCTTCTTCTGACATTTGCACCCTAACTCACATGGCTTTAGGTGATGCAGTGGTGTTTTTCAATAACCGCATCTCTATTGTCCCAGAGGATATACACTTGGACAGGCCCTTATCCAAAACTGATAGGTCAAAACCCTTCCCTAGAAAGTATACACTTGACTTCATTGGCTTTATTGTCTTCTTCATGTTTGTAGAAAGACATTGCCTGAATTCTGAGCTTTTATTGACTTCTAATAAAACAAATGGCCATTTTCTCTCAACTTTACTGGGCCATGCACACAATGAATTTATGAAGGAAAAATTCTCAAAGGCTATGTAGCCCAGAGACTGCCAAACCATCACATTTTTTTCAGGAGTTACAGGCACATTTTAATTTGGGAGTGTAAATTGTATTTAAAAATTCATCACTTCGAACACAGTAGGACAAATTAGTATTTTTGTAATAGAAGGCTTCTCAAGAGAAAGAATTTTTGTGTTTACCATTTTATCTCCAGAAGCTATAAAGTTTTCTGCACAGATAAATACTTATTGAATGACTCAATGAATTTGTCTCCAGCCGAGGTTTGTATAATGAACGTGCACCTTTATAAACAAGATGAATATAGATAAACAGGCATTACTGTGCTCTCACAACTATTGTTAGCTACCTGAATAAGACTGCATAATAGGTGAGGGGAAAGGAGTTTATAACATTCTACGACCCAAAACGGCATTCAGTGCACCTTAGTTATTAACTTGTGCTGTGAAATGAAAACTACCAGAAGTTGTAAAACAGAACGCTTGGTGGCGCTGCAGGATAAGAGAGGAAAAGCTTCCTCCGCGATTCCCAGACTCCTCCGGCAGCTAGCAAAGGAAACATTTACAATACTGGGGATAGGGTTCAAAGAGGCAGCACTCTCCATCCCCAGGTCAGTCGATGTTAAGAACTAACTCAAGATTATTGAACTAAGATAGCAGAATTGGCTGCAAAGCAATTGTTTTGTGATTTAATACTGGATCTTTTGGACCCGGAGGAAGGATGGAGATGCCGCTACGCAAAGCGCCCGGGAAAAGGCAAGTGACCGCCATTATTATTGTATTACTATTGTGGGAGGCGGGCTGTGCGACCGTTAAATATTCTGTTTTAGAAGAGAGGGACAGCGGCTCTTTTGTGGCCAACCTAGCAAAAGATTTGGGGCTGGGCTTAGGGGATCTGGCCGAGCGTGGCGCCCAGATTCTTTCCAAAGGGAACAAACAGCATTTGCTGCTCGAGCAGAAGAGTGGGAATTTGCTCTTGAACGAAAAATTGGACCGGGAAGAGTTGTGTGGTGACACGGATCCATGTATCCTGCATTTCCAGGTGTTACTGAAAAACCCACTGCAGTTTATTCAAGGTGAGCTACAGGTCCGGGATGTAAATGACCATGCCCCAGAATTCTTGGAACAGGAAATCCTCCTGAAAATCCCGGAAAGCAGTCATCCAGGGACTGCATTTCCTTTGAAAATAGCGCAGGATCTAGACGTGGGCAGCAACACAGTTCAGAACTACACAATTAGCACCAACTCCCATTTCCACCTTATCACTCGCAATCACAGCGATGGCAGAAAATACCCTGAGCTGGTGCTGGACAAAGCGCTGGACCGCGAGGAGCAGCCAGAGCTCAGGTTAACCCTCACGGCGCTGGATGATGGGTCACCACCCAGGACTGGGACTTCCCATGTTCTCATTGTAGTCCTGGACATAAATGATAATGTCCCTGAATTTGATAAGCTGCTCTATGAGGCACGGGTCTCAGAGAACAGCCCTATAGGCTCTCTTGTCATCACTGTCTCCGCTAGAGACTTAGATGCTGGGACCCACGGAGAGCTCTCCTACTCATTTTTCCAATCCTCAAATCAAGTCATTCAGGTGTTTGAAATAAACTCAGTCACGGGAGAAATTCGATTAAAAAGAACCTTGGACTTTGAGGAAATTCAATCTTATCGTATGGAAATTGAGGCCTCAGACGGAGGGGGGCTTTCAGGAAAATGCACCGTAGCCATAGAAGTGATGGATGTAAACGACAACGCCCCGGAACTTATCATGTCATTACTCATCAGTGATATTCCAGAAAATACCCCTGACACTGTGGTAGCAGTTTTCGAAATTTCAGATCCAGACTCAGGAGACAATGGCAAAACCATGTCTTTCATCCAAGACCATCTCCCCTTCTTTCTGAAACGTACCTTAGAAAATTTCTACACCTTGGTAACAGAAGGAGCGCTGGACAGAGAGCTCCAGGCCGAGTACAACATCACCATCACCGTCACCGACATGGGGACCCCCAGGCTGAAAACCCAGCACAACATCACCGTGCAGGTGTCCGACGTCAACGACAACGCCCCCGCCTTCACCCAGACCGCCTACACCCTCTTCGTCCGCGAGAACAACAGCCCCGCCCTGCACATAGGCAGCGTCAGCGCCTCGGACAGAGACGCGGGCGCCAACGCCCAGGTCGCCTACTCGCTGCTGCCGCCCCGCGACCCCGGCCTGCCCCTGGCCTCGCTCGTGTCCATCAACGCGGACAACGGGCAGCTGTTCGCCCTGAGGGCGCTGGACTACGAGGCCCTGCAGGCGTTCGAGTTCGGCGTGGGCGCCACGGACCGCGGGTCGCCGGCGCTGAGCAGCCAGGCGCTGGTGCGCGTGCAGGTGCTGGACGCCAACGACAACGCGCCCTTCGTGCTGTACCCGCTGCAGAACGGCTCCGCGCCCTGCACCGAGCTGGTGCCCCGCGCGGCCGAGCCGGGCTACGTGGTGAGCAAGGTGGTGGCGGTGGACGGCGACTCGGGCCAGAACGCCTGGCTGTCGTACCAGCTGCTCAAGGCCACGGAGCCCGGGCTGTTCGGCGTGTGGGCGCACAACGGCGAGGTGCGCACGGCGCGGCCGCTGGGCGAGCGCGACGCGGCCCGGCACCGGCTGCTCGTGCTGGTCAAGGACAACGGCGAGCCGCCGCTGTCGGCCAGCGTCACGCTGCACGTGCTGCTGGTGGACGGCTTCTCGCAGCCCTTCCTGCCGCTGCCCGAGGCGGCGGCCGCCGCGGCGCGGGCCGACCCGCTCACCGTCTACCTGGTCGTGGCGCTGGCGTCGGTGTCGTCGCTCTTCCTGTTCTCGGTGCTGGCGTTCGTGGCGGTGCGGCTGTGCAGGAGGCGCAGGGCCGGCTTGGCGGGTGGCTGCTCGGTCCCCGAGGGCCGCTTCCCGGGCCACCTGGTGGACGTCACCGGTACCGGGACCCTGTCCCAGAGCTACCAGTATGAGATATGTCTGACTGGAGGCTCCGGATCAAATGAGTTCAAATTCTTGAAGCCAATTATCCCCAACCTACCATCCCAAGGCTCTAGTGAAGAAATGGAAGAAAACGCTACCTTTGGTAATAACTTCATATTCAATTAGAAATCTCATCACGATGCAGTGTATTTTGTAACATCTCCAATTTCCCCCAGATACAGAGTTTAGGAACCTTATGGACAAAATCCCACCTTCAAGTATAGCCTGTACTTCCGTTTTTGAATTTCAGCGCATGGGTTCCCAGTCTCAGAGCTACCAGTGTGAGGTGTG